GTTTTATTTTATCTAATTTAATGACTGAAATAGAAATGATGATAATTTTATCTAATGAGATGTGTCTGTACATAAGGGAAAAAAGAAACATTTGCTGGGGTTTCTGTGCAAGAAGACAATAAAGTTTGTTTCCAGGAACTGTTGGACAAAACCTTTATGGTAATCAAAATTATTACATTTTGATTAACATAAATCTGTAATATTTTGCTGCCGCTTTAACATGTGAGTCCTGCTACCCCAGCTATCATTGTTGGATAACCTTATACCAGCATCCTGAGCAATACAAACCTGCAGTACCTAGTTCTGCTGTACTGCCGGCAAAAATTACATAAACAGAAAAAAAAAGCTCATTTTTGCTTTCGGTTCTGACCCTGCATTTTGGTTTGTCTGAAATGTAATTGTGATTTATCAAATTTTAAAACTCTTTATACCATGTTAAAAGAAGAATTCAGATTTACCTTTCACATTTCATGCTAACATACATCTAAAGCCAACTCGGCAGCTTCCATTTCTTTTAACCAAAATATTTCATATACTTCCGGCCCAGCTCCTCCTTTTCAACCTGCATCTGTTTTTAATAAGGCTTTTTTTTTTTTTTTTTTTTTTTTTTTGGTTGTTCACATATGAAGGGTGGAGACTGGCCAAAATAAATCAAGATAAAGATTATTATATTGCAAACACAAATAGAGCAATTTCTGTAACAAACTGAATCTGACTGAGTTGTAAATAAAACTGCTAAATAACACATTCTATCTAAGTTGCACTGAAGCATAAGTTATAAAAAGAAAAAGAAGATTTTCTACCTTTTTTACACCCCCTCGCAGTTCAGGTAATACATCCAATATTTCAGTTTGCATCTGCAGAGGCTTCATAGTATCGCAGTGGAGAGTTCAAACAGTACATTTCCAGTGTCTGTAAATAAAGCAGATTTTATAAAAAGTTCATTACAAACTATTATTTACACAGATAAGAAAAGATTAAAACAATCACTAAGTACTTAAATAAATGTTGTTTTTCACTCTTGCTATGATTTTCTATATTTTTATTTCGTTTAGGGACCATAGTAGCTTCAATATTATGCATAGTTATTGTTTTGTAAGAGAGGTCATTGTCATTCATATAGCCATGATGTCTGCTACAGAGTATAACAGGTGAGATAAAAGTGCTGGCGTACTCTAAAAACATATATAAATATTTTAATATTCAGATAAAGCCTGTTTAATTTGCAGATAAATTTGGAAATATTCATAATCATGAAGCTTATTCCCAGTCTGTTATGTTTTTGAATGAATACACATTTGGCCCAGTTCACAGCAGCAGATGTAACCTACATTACCTTACCTAAAATAGCAGATGATGTAAAGTCATTTTCAAAAATAGAACTGTCAAACTTTCAATGGGTAAATGATGGAAGGTCATGTACTATTTAATTTGCTACGGGAAAAGTGAGAGAAATAAAAATAAAAAACAGTTGTTGTAATTGAGTCCATTTATTAATTTCTGGATAAACCAAAAGAGACTGACAAAACAAATTTGCAGTTCCTTTTTGCTTTATAAACAGCCCAAAAAGCTGTTTTGCAATTCCCCTCACGTAAACGTGTCCTTCTCATAAAGTTTAAAACACCTTCCCTTAGAGCTTTGTCTTAATTGCCTTTTCACAAGTGGATGTGATGAAAAAAGACAACAAGCACCTCCCGGCTCAGAGCCTTTAATTTTATGATGCATAATCAGCTTGCAGCTTATTTGAAATTGTTCTGGGTTTTGTAGTCCTTAGACAATAAAGAGCGTTAGGCCTTTATTAGTTTACAGGTTAGGTTCCTCAAGTGAGACGTTGCAGTCTTTAGAAGGGAGGAATGAAAGGCATTAAAACAAACCCTGTGCACCACTGTGGATTTCTTTTGGCATATTATGCTGTTAGCCTTCATTACTTCTGCCAAGGCGGTTATGTTTTTAGGAGGGTTTGTGTTTCTCTGTCTCTCTGTCTAGCTGTGTACAGGATAACTTGAAAAGTTATGAACGGATCTTAATGAGGTTTTTACTAGTGCTGCACCTCATGCCAAGAGACAATCTATTACAGGGGTCATAGAATGATTCTATAGGGTATCTGGTCCTTAAGGTCCCTGAATAGGGTGTGTAACATTGATTAGGCTGAAAACTGGCATGTTTGCTGATCTATGAGCCCTAATGCAAGCCTGGTTAAAAGCCCTAGAATGAAACGACAGGTTATCTTGCTTTTATGGTATGCTGATGAATATTTAGATGAGCTGTGCTCTGATTGGTTGGTTTACAACGAGCGAAGCTGCTGAGCAAAGACGGATCATAGCAACAAGCACTCACTCACTGAAAGATCAAATTCTTGATATGGTAGGGTGATCAGACGTCCTCTTTTTCCCAGTCATGTCCTACTTTTTCATCTGTATGTCAATTTCAGGGTGTGACAAAAGTAAAGGCCAGAACCAAATAAAGTAAATCCTTTGGATTCACCCGTTTTATGGTGGAAGTTTAGAATTGTGAGATTTGCAGAGAAAGGAAATGTCGATGGGGTTTGAACTTCTCTGTACGTCCATGTACCCCCATTCCAGTGGGTGACACTGAACTATTGTTATTCCTGTATGACAAAGTAAACCTGTTTTGCATTCTATGAGCCCTTTAAATTTCGGTGATAATCCAGACCATAATCCAGATACAGGATTTTTTTTTAAGGATTCTTAAATTCCCCGTAAACCAGACGCTGGCAGCAGTGACTATTTGCTGCCTCAGCACTGGACTCCAAAAGTCATGATCCAGACATGCAAGTTTAAGCTATAGGTGTAAAGGCAAAATATGAGGCAAAATTTGCTGCTTGGCAGAGGTTTTTCTTGTTAATAATGGCTTAATTCAAAATACACCTTCTGAATCTACTGCAGAAATCAGATAAAGTGATAAAGGCCCTCATTAACACTTAACTCTCAAAATAGTTTGTAGTAAACTGGGAAATACTACTATCTTTTCGCTACTTAGCTTGATATTCATCCTAAATGCATTATTATAAAAATATTTTTTTCATAATAATAAAATAATATATTAAATTTTGCATAACTCCAAATGCGAAAAGATTAAGAAACATCTGTAAGCATAGTAAGACAAGGCTGCCTGTTCGCTCAAACATACAAGTAGAGCAAGAAAAGCACTATCTAGGGAAGTAGTCAAGACACTAATAACGCTAGAGGGGATCCACAGTTCAAGAGGGAATATCTTTTGGTGGCATAACTAATATTTCAGTGATTGGAAAACTTGTTAAAATGAAAAGGACATAGCAGACAAGTGAAATAAAATTGAACCTTTTGTTTAATATACTATGTAGCGCAAAAAGTCAGGCTCTGCACATAAATCTGAAAATATATATATTTTTTTGTTAGGTAAACTGAAGCCAGTTAAAGAAAAGATCGATGAAAGTTTAGGTCTACAGAATTTGCAGTTGTCTTGAGAATGGGGTGTATGTTCAGCTTTTAGCAGGACAGCAACCCAAATTCCACTAACACACCCCTAAATTGGTATTAACAGAAAATCTATATCTAATCTGATTCAGCATAATAACTATTTAAATGTTAAAGGCCAATAGAGGCAGACCCCCAAATATCTGCAGCTGTAACTAGACTTTGAACTCTGAACATACAAACATTACACAGTTTTCAGATTTCAATCTATTTAAAAGGGTATTTTATTAATCTTTTTTCCCCATTTTTAAATAGTTTATGCATTGTGTTGTTTTATAACATGTAATCTAATTGGAGTTGTAGTCATTATGCAACAGAATATAAAAGGTTTAAGGTGTAGTAGTTTATGGCACATGTACAAGTTGTGTTGGGAAGATGCAGTTCGGGGGATAAACAATAGCTCACATTTAAGCATCTTTTTAGTTTTATTCTTTTGGTATTCATTGTGGTTCTTTTTTTCTGTCTCCTTCTGATGTGCCAACTTACCTTAACCCAAGAGACTTGTTAAGTCAGGAATGTGTCAGATAACCAAGCAGCATGAAGTGGAAAGTCATGCTCTTATCTGTCAGTGTACCATAGGCACCCTCACAGCGAGCCCACAAATTACATGTGACATCAACTGACAAGAGCAAAAGAAAAACACGGGCCTAATTTCAACACCCATCACTGTTTCCAGTTGGTCTGACTCACTGGCTTCTAAGCCATTTCCCTGAAAAGTAAACAACCGGCCAGACAAATCTCTGATGTCACACTGTCATGGACCCCACCTACTTTATCTGCTCTCCCTTCATTTGAAATATCTGCAGCTCCATGTTTTATTTAACACTTTGGACAAATTTCCTATACAGCTACAGCTACTGTATAGCAACATTTCCAGGACGTACGTGTTTGTACTGTTGAAGTAAAACATGTGATGTAGTGCCAAGTTATGAATGTAATTCATTCAGATACTCTGCTAAGTGCTTACAGATCTCGGTTCTCTTTGCCATTTTAAGACGATGTTTTGCAGAAGAGATGATTATGGAAACATGCACACAAAAAGTCCTTATGACAGCATTTTGTTAGAAAACTTATTAGACAGGATTAAACAACACCTAACGGTTTATGCTCCTCTTAGGGATATAATGAGGCCTAAAACATTACAGGGCACTCTGAAGTAAAGCTGCTGAATCCCGCTGCCATACGCACTTGTAGCACTCCGTGGGGTCATTTTTCTTCAAGCTCGACATTTTCATCCAAGCCTTGCACCTGTATGCAACTCTAAGGTCACCAAAAAAATTGTACAGACATCTGGAAAACAGAAGAAAGAGAGGAGTGCAAGTGTTTTTAAAAAGTGTTAAATAATTTTGGTGAAGATTATTTTCCCTTACTGCTGTTACTTGAAGGTTGCCGAGAGGTTTTTAACCTCTCAGCAATAATAAAGGTATATTAAAAGATCCCTCTCATCTTTTCTTTCTAGCCCTGCAGCTCAAGACATGTTGACATAACAGAACAAACAAGGCAGCAAAGCAGATTTTATGAAAAACCTGAAACAACTTGGAAACTTATGGCCTATAAAATAAAATAGTTTAATTTGCTGAAAAAAGGTTTAGAAATACCAGACCCACACATGGGTGTTTCATTTTTAATGCAGGCATTTTTTAAGGGACAATAACCAACAGCAGGAAACTAGGGCAACATAAGCATTTAAGAAACAAAGTATATATCTTATAAAACTAAATGCCTGAAATAATAATTAAAAACCAAAGATAATTTTTTTTCCCCTTTGAGAAACATCAATTTATATAGAGACTTTCTGCATTCTCTAGGTTTTTTCTAGAGCAAATTTACAAATTGTTTCTATATTTCATATAAACTCATGTAGCTACATATACAAATAAGAAACAGAATATTGAAATGGAACATTAAATAGCAAAATGCTAATATTCTATCATTTACTCTGATTTAAGCATGTGTAAAGAACTTTCAGTTTTGGTCAATTTTGACTCCCCCCAGTGGACAAAACTTGTATTGTTTTGCCTCAGGGAAGATAACATTTCCCATGAGGGGCCGCGCAGTGCATGGTAATTCTAATCTCCTAGTCGCCTGCAGCTGGATTTAACTACGTACATTTTTGTTTCCAGTGGCTGTATGAAAGATGAATAGTGATGAGGTAATGAATCAAAGTGTGCCGAAACAAATACATAAGATGATGTTGAAAATACAAGATGTTTAACTTTGCTTTTGTACCATAATACTGCACCAGCCTTTGCCGGTTGATTCAAACACGTCCGCCCTCCACCGCCCCTCACTTAGCAGTACACTCTATTGCCTACCAAATGTGACAGCTGACACAAAAAAAGGCAAAGAAAGATGCCAAACTACTACTTACTACTGTTCTGTGTGCTAATTACATTGTGGAGGAGCTTCAGCTGGAATACCGTTGTTGCAGATATCATATTTTGGCATCTGTGCTTAAATGTCAGCCAAATTCATTTGCACAGGTACAGATAAAACCTTTTAACAAACCAAACATTACCTGCCACATATGACTCACTAACCATCCATCCATCCATCCATTTTCTTTACACGCTTTTCCCAAGTGGGGTCGCGAGGGGTGCTGGTGCCTATCTCCAGCAGTCAATGGGCGAGAGGCGGGCGACACCCTGGACAGGTCGCCAGTCCATCGCAGGGCAACACAGAGACACACAGGACAAACTACCATTCATGCACACACTCAGACCTAAGGACAATTTAGAGAAGCCACTCACTAACCATTTAAAAACAATTATTTTCATGAATTTTTTATGGAACTATTCACATATTTGTATTATATTAAAACGCACGTACATTAGTTAACATGGTTCATTGCAATTTCCTTTTTTTCCTGAGTACAGCAGCCGGCTCACAAGGCCCGTCCTTCAAAACTGGCAAAAAGAAGGCTGCATTTGTCATCCGCATAATGAGTCTTCCAATCTGTATAGGCCGAAAAGGCTATGAAGACGCCACTGCCAGATCCGAACACACCAAAAGTCACTCAGGGAAATTTAGTCGCATGATCTTCCATCTTTGTCACAAATGGGGAAAGGGGGAAAGTGACGTATGCCATAAAACAGTCTGCACATTTGTAGTTGTTTTGAGTGGTAGGGTCGATGCCAACCTCCTTAAAGTTGCAGTGAAAGTGATACAAATCCCCTCGGGCCATGACAGAGGTGTCATTCAACTAGTTGTACGACTACGTATAATCACAAAAGTTAAATTGAAAAGTTAGTGTTGGTTTAACTGAACTAACAGTTTAACCTGTCTGTTATTTGTCACTGGTGTTTATAATGGTGCCATGCTGTTCATGAAGGTGTTTTTGCCTCTGATGATCCAGAAGCATAATGACTAAAGTGTGTGTGTACAGCCGAGAGGCTGGTTCTCCTTGTGTTGCACTAGCATTAAAAGCTAGCATGCACTTAACAATGATTATAATGAACAAGACAGGCACACATTGTGGAGATCAGTATTTTCGAACTAGGAAACAGACACGCTTTCCATGTGAACTAACTGGTTTACATCCAGTAATGCAACCACATAAACAAATACAATAAAGATCCGCTATGCATGCCTCTCTGCAAATTTCATAGAAACAATTATAGACATGGTTACTCCCTAATCCTCAAAGCTAAATTACTTCCTTTGTAGTTCCAAAACATGACTAACACAATCATAAGTTACATGGAAAGTCCAGATGGCTTATGTAATGCAGGAAAAAGTAGCTCTGTGGTTGTGTGAAGGCACACACAAAAACACACACTTGTCCAGGCTTAGCTCTATTTGAAGTTGTCTACTCCCAAGCTTTTCCACAGGATCAGCACATTAAGGGCTTATTATTTTTGTATTGTGGATGTAAGCAGATTTGTTGATTATTCAAGATATATTTTCATGTTTTCATTCTCATAAGTTTCTAAATGTTGCTGAAGATAACTTCTACTGTTGTAAAGGATGCCTGTTTGTGTCTTGTCTTCTTAATTTATGACTGTCAAAGTCATGTGATTCTGTCAGATATGCAAAGTAAATTAGATTATATGATTCTTTCTTTGTTGCAGGTATTTCCTCTGAATCTCCATCTATACGTCTGTATGACGAAGAGTGGATATCTGACATACCAAGCAGTGACAGCACCTTACTTCCTGACTGCAATAAAGAAGGCTCTGGTATCTGCAACCTCTCCTACACCTGGGATGCCACTACTACCATGAGCATGAAGCCAACACAAAATATTACTGCCACAAATCACTCTACCAACCCCTTTTTAATCCCACCTGCACCAATGCTGGTGCCCTTGTACACAGACTGGAACAGTGCCATTTCGACCTGGGGCTTGGCATGGGAAGCACATGTCTACGGTGCAGGTGGAATCTTTGCAGTGTTAACACTTGCCTCTGCACTAAATCTGCTTTGTTTGCCGCTGAGATGTCCATCAGGGTGCGGCTACTTTGCTTTGGTTAGCCTGTTCCTTCTAGCGGCTGGATGCACAAGATCATTTTCTCTGCTGTATGACGCCTATGGTCACCATGATCGCATATCCTCCACAGAGGCCTCACTCATGCTGTACGAAGCACCTTTTCCCTGCCTTACTGCAGCTTTCGGTTTGGTTTTTCTTCTCCTCTCAATGCGTTCAAGAATGCAGCTCTCCTATTCAGCCTTCCAGAGACCCTGTTTCCTAGCCTGCCTGGTCGTCTTGCACTTTGCTGCTGCATTTGGTCCAGTGACTTTCTTAAAGTTCTACCAGCAAAAGCCTCCTTTGTGCCTCTTTCTGTCATTGATCTCTCGTGGAGCCTTTGTGGCACTCGCAACATTTCTATCTGCTGCCTATTTTGTTTTCTATGTCTATGTCCGGGCTGACTCAAAGCACATCTATCATTTAAACAACACATCTCCAACACCTGCTGAACGCTACAACCGCTGCCCATTTGCAGAGAGCAAAGACTGGAATCGCGCAGCTGTAACAGTTTGCTTGTCAGCATTGTTTTCTTTGGCATGTGCAGGACTACAGTTATATGCAATGCTTAATGCTATAGGTGTTATAGGTGGAGAGGAAGTCTTTTATCCTTGGCCCTGGTGGGCTTTTCAGTTTAGCTGTAGAATATGTGAGCTTGGCGTTTGTCTCACATTAGCTTTGGTGGTTGCCCAACCAGTTTTTTGTTCCGACCAGCTTCCAGCAGCTGGAAGTTGTTGGACTGAACTACTAGCAACCAAGTCCCCAATCCTGCCTGGGACCTACCAGTGGACACTTAGCCAGCAGGAGAAGCTTGCTATTGTTGATACAGTTGGGCTTGGTGAGACAGAGAACCTTCCACTGTACACTTTGATGGATGAGAGGCTTGGTAGCAGCCTGAACGGCTTGGACCTACTCTACCATAGCAACCGGGCTTTAGCCTATCGAGACCTCGACTTGGATTTAGGGTTACTGGGTTCCAAAAAACCTGAGGATGTGGAAGGCAGAGAACCTTCAGGTGGATCGTCATTTACAAGCGACTCCACTGCAGACCTGCGGCCCCCTTCACCAATCAACTTGCGGCGTAGCATAGATGAGGCACTCTTCAGCGAGGCATTGTTTCCCATGAGCCTCTTCAGCCCTGTTAAACCCATTTGCTCCAGTGACACATCTGTAAAAGACCATTGGGCACTCTCCGGCAGTGGCCCATGTGGTTCTCTCTTTACTGAATCCAGTCTTTATCGAACCTCATCTTGCTTAGAAATGACCTCTGACCCACAGTTCCCTTCCAACCAGTGTCAAGGTGTAGCCACAGAGGGCATTCCAGTATCTCCCTCCATGGTCTCATCCTCCAGTGGTTCATCCCCTGAACATTGGAAGGGTAGTTCCTCTTTTGCTGGCTCCTCCCTGGTTCTTTGCCCAAATACTGAGAGACATACACAGCAGCTTCCACAGGAAGGAGGCTCAGATATGGCATCCCATAACCCACAGAAAAAATACCAAGCCCTGGGAGCTGCCTCACAGGAAAGCCTAAACCTGTCAACTGAGACAGATCGATCTGTGCAGCAAGAATTCATCACAGTTTGCAGACAAATGGATTCTTTAAGCATCTGCAGTGAGACTATAGATTTATAAAAACAGACTGCTTTTTACAGCAAACCTACTGGAATTTTAAATGGTATTTAATAATGCATGTCAGCTTTACATAAATTTAAAAAACGTTATATGCTAAAGTGTTTCAGGAGGCTTAATGATACTTTTTAAATATTGAGTGAATGTTCCTGATAGTCTAAGTGCCAAGACTGTCAAAAGCCAAGAGAATATTTGTACATTTTACATGTCTGATAAAAGCAGATGCTGTGTGTTATAATAAGGGTTAGTTTTACTAAGTGGAAATACAACAAGAAGTTATTTGTACAAATGTTTTTATGGCATTCCAACATTCCAGTAAGTTGTACTGTGACAGATATAGGCTCTTAACTGCTACTGTTGTAATAAGCTACATAGGTCTCCAGTTATTATAGCTAATCATTAGTCTGGATGTTTAAGTTTTTTTTTTTTTTTTCAAAACATAAGCACCTCATAACTACATATTTCTTAAAGTCATAGCAGATCGGTGCCCTCTGCTGGTAAAGTGCAGTATATCAAGCATTTGTTTCAATTCATTGCTGTGAATATTGTGTGCCTAATTACAGACCAGTTTTGTTTTTTGCTTTTTTCCCCCCACACAGTTTTTTATATAAATAAACAACTTTGAATATAAGAAAATATTAAAACAGATAATTGAAAAAAGGAGTTTATTAATCAAGGAATACAGACTTTTCAAACCAAAACAGCCCTTTGTGTGATTGAAAAGAAAACCATATAACTGACCATTCCTGGGGGAAACAGCTGCAGTCAAGCTTTTTTTTCCCCCTTTTTTGAGCCTCTTAGGTGTGAAATTGCTTGCTTGTTTCTGATCACTGTTCTGATATACCTAATGGATCTTGAACCTAAGGCGATAACCAAGTGGCTGGACTTTCACTTTTACAATTTTCTGTTAGAGGGCCAAATCCCCCTGTTCCACTAATTATGGCAAGCTGTAAAGTAGCAAGGTAAGCCCAGATCAGCCTACTACCACCCAAATGTTTGACTCGTGAAATTATGTACTATACAGTAGGTAAAATAAGTGCTGAACACACCATTTTTCTAAGGAAATATATTTCTAGAGGTACTATTGACATATTTTCATCAAATGTTGGTAACAATCCATGCAATGCACACATACAAAGAAATCAAACCATAGATATCCAGAATGCAAGTTATGTGTAATAAAGGGAAATTACACAGGGGAAATGTATTGAACTCACTTACTGAAATGTATTTAATACTTTGCACAAAAGTCTTTGTTGGCAATGTTAGCTTTAAGACTCTAAGACTTTAAGATGGAGAAATTTGTCGCACGCATTGCTCAGGTGTGGTTATGGCCCATTCCTCCACACAAACAGTCTTCAAATCTTGATGTTTTCATGGGTCTCTTCCATAGATTTCCTATTGCCAGGTGATTGGCTGCACCATTCTAGCAGCCTTATTTTCTCTCCCTGAAACCAACAGAGAGTTTCCTTGGCTGTGTCTGGAGTCATCGTGTAGCTGAAATGTTCAACCACGTTTCATCTTCATCATCCGGGTAGATGGCAGCAGATTTTTATTTAGAATGTCTCTGTACATTTTTCCATTCATCCTTCCTTCACTTATTTGAAGTTTGCCAGTACTACATGCTGAAAAACAGGCCCGAACCATAATGTTCCCACCTACAAAACTACACTGTTGGTATGGTGTATTGTGGCATTCAAAGAGTTAAATTTAGGTCTCATCTGACCAGACTATATCCTCCCAGTATTTCACAGGCTTGTCTAAATGTTATGCAGCAAACTTTGGCTCTTGGAAAACTCTTCTGATAAAATTCTTCCACTCCTCTGTCAGAAATCTTGTGAGAAGCACCTGTTCAAGGTCGGTTTATGGTGAAATTATGTTCTTTCCACTTTTGGATTATGGTCCCAAATGTGCTCGCTGGAACCTTCAGAAGTTTAGAAATCCTTCTGTAACCAATGCCATCATTATGATTTGTAACAATAGGGTTGCCAAGGTCTTAGAAAAAGCTCTTCACTTTTACTCATCATGAAATGTTTCCTGTATGATATAAGAGACACCTTTTTATAGGCCATCATTTGGGACTTAACAAATTTTACTTTGCACTGACAAGGGACAGGATTGCTTTTTAATTACTGAGAGATTTCGGCTGGTGTCTTGGCTTTCCATGCTTTTTGTAACTCCCTTTCTTCACGTTTTCAATACTTTTCCCTGTGGCATTCAACATTAATACACACAACTAAATCACTGGACATCTATGGTTTGATTTCTTTGTATGTGTGGATTGCATGGATTGTTACCAACATCTGGTGAAAATGTCATATCAACAGCTCCTCTAGAAACATATTTACAGAGAGAAATGGTGGCATGTACATACTTATTTTACCTGTTGTATGTCAGATGCAACATGACCCACTGAAATTGATCATAGTCTATAAGGGCACTGGGCAAAATTCTGCATGTGGGTCAGTTCAAATTTAAGTGAAATTGTTGAGAACTTACATATATCCATATAATCAGTTGAAGATCTTTACTTTATTGGTGTTCTTTCTTGGTTTAGGAGGCAGGAAATACAATATCCATCGTTTTCCATTTCAACTGCCCCCTGGAGGTTGAAGTACTTTGAAGAATAAAAACATGGTGTGTTAAAAAAAAAGCTATTATAACATCCGCTGCAATCAATTAACAATGGCAATAGGGAACTTGGAGAAAGCATCCAGTCTTACAATCCTTGGGCAAGAAACTTTAATAAGAATCCTTAAAAGGTTAATAAAATATATTTTACATACAAAAATAAGACCTTTGTCTTTATGATGTCATCTTACAATCCTTGGTAATATATCCATCAGCCTTACTGCACCAATATAACTAATAAAAATGTATGAAGATGTATAAATAGAGATTTCTTTATTTTTAAGTATTACTCAACATGATTCCAGTAGGCTACAGAGAACTGGACCCAAGGACAGATTATCCAATGGGTGTTATGGGCTGAGGACCAGGGGGTCAAAGTCCACCAAGGGCCTATGCGGTCTTATACATATATAGTAGCCAATAACCAATAAAACACTTGCTGTTGCTGATACTTAAATATAACAACAACAAAAAAAGTTGAATAGAAGTGTATGATTCGTCTGCCACAATTATGGTAACCACGGTAACCTGCCTGAGGGTTACCCCATCTGCTCGGACTGGGAATGATTTTCGGCCCTGGCATTTTTTCATCTACACCAGCCCATTTATGTAATAAATAGGATTTTACAGTTTGAAGAAATAGAAAATTACACCATATGCCAACCGTCACAAAGATGTGCATAGCAAGGAAGGGCTATATATACTGCATGCACCATTAAGGTAGTTAATATTGTATTACTTCTTGAGCTTCTTGAGTTATTTACTGTCACAGGTAGGAGCTTCGGCCAGAGAGTAAATGTTGGGGCCGGTATGATTTAAGGAGGGCCGGCCCTCACACGCTGAAATTAGGACCGGCCCACCGGGCAAATGCCCGGTATCACAGATTACCAGTCCGAGCCTGCACCTGTGAGAGTAATAGTAGGCTAGCTGGAATAAATGAGTGAGAAGGGGTTGTTTCAAATGGAAGTGAGAATGATAAAGAGAGAAGGAAGTGTGTTTAATAAGAATTGTGTCATCAATTTACACTTTCTTTGGTTCTCGTTCGTCATTTGGACACTGAGCCACAAAAAGTGACAAAAAAAAGCTGTAAGATATGGATTTAGATTTCTGAATAAGGGATTTTCTTTCCTGTCTGCACTGACTGGACCAAACCTGACTGATCGGAGCAAAAACAAATCTTTGCACTGTGCTGTGAACAGGTGCAACTTAAGCTGTGTGTATGTTGGACAGCAGGGCTGCTACAAACCGGTGAGTTTCATTGTTTTGGAAGCCTAGACTGATACATAATTTGGGCAGCCACATATTCCTCTACCTGCTGGATTATTGTTTTAGTCATCTGTAACGGTCTTTGAGATGCTGAATATGGACCATTGCCAAAATATTTTTTAAAGGCCCATATAAATGTTCTTATTCTAAAACTGACTTGATATTGATTTAAGTAGCTTAGTTCTTGCTTCACAGCAGCTGATTTAGTGTATTTCATAAAGCCAGCTTGCACATGCAGCCTTTAGCAGGCTAAGATGCCATAAGAAGCAAAAAAAGAAATAAAAATAAAATTCCTAATTCCCATTCTTTTTTTTTTATATATTAAATAAAAAAATGGATTTAAAATGGTGCAGAAAATAAATGTATTGGTTGATTTAATATATATATTTTTTTATGTGCTGCATAGATTTTCTTTGGCTGTTATGAAGTTATCTGTGCATTTTTATTAAATAGAAAAAACTAATCTGGAAGGGGAAAATAATTCTAAATGTAAGATAAATATATTGGAGAGAAAAACAATAACACTGATAGGAAAAACTGATGTTATTTGAGACTGAATAAAACATTTTGAGAGAAAATGTTTTTCATTTAATAAATTAAAGATATTGACATTTGAAAAATTATATTTAAGGGAAAAAGCTCTCTCAAAAGTATACTTTTAATTCTCAATTTATTTATTTTTTTTGCAATCAGAGTGAAAACATTTTGTCTGAAAAAAGGATTTCTCTCAAAAAACCCAAGTCTTTGCTTTGGATTCTGGAATTTTCTCTCAGAGTGAAAAATGTGTCATGGGCGATCCTGTGTTTCTATTGGCCAGCTTCAACAGAACTGACAGCTGAGTGGTGATAACAGAATGTGGATGTATGAAAACTAGAAAAGTTTATAAACCATAAAAACTAAAAGGAAACCTACAAGATCCAACTGGCTATGATCCTGACTCATGTTTGTAAACACTATAGTAATAATATAGCTTCATCCGAGGAGTCTGCAAACACAGTCAATGACAGCAACATTAACTCTCATTAAGTAGATAAAAACTGCCATCCTTCTCGTGATTAATTAGGATTTGATTTTATTGCTGTTTTGACTGAAATCTCAATGTATTGGGAAAAGGAATTCTGGTATACTTTTTTTCTGGGTTGTTTTCAAACATTCCTACTGTACTTACATTCCTACACTTTTCAAGATGAGACAAATTTGAATTTTATAAAGAGCATCACTAATTAAGGTCAATCCAGTGTCTTATTTCCTGTCAATTTCTTATTTTTATTTTTTATTTTGGTGTCAAATAACAGCAGTTTTTGCTATTAGTGTGAAAATTTGTTCTTTTTAATTTGTTTATTGTACTTATTTTTAAGTACAATAAATTGTTATTTTATTTATTTTCCACTTTTTATATTGAATTTTTCAATTTAATACAAATCCCAAAATAACTCCAGTTTCCTCATGATTGAAGACAGAGGCAGCGCAACCTTCTCATCTAATATCACCAATCAGCTGTCAATGTTCTTGAAACTGGCCAATAGGAAAACAGGCCCGCCCATGACACATTTTTCACATAGAAAATTCAGAGAACACAAAAAAAGAAATCAATATTTAAGAATAAATATAGAGTTCAGAGAGCGATTTTACCTTAAAATATTTTCCAAATGCAACTTATTTTACTATGAAAAAATATTTTCTCTCAAAACTTTTTCTTCACTCTCAAATAACATTTTTCAGTGTGAACCATTT